CTATAAGTGCCATAATTTTGTGAACACAAACTGAGTCTTTGTTTTTGTAGTGGTCGTCGATGTCCCTTGTCATTGCTGTCGTTGTCGCCGCTGTCGTCTCATGTAAAATTCGGCACGAGCGGGTAATCCAAGCCCTCTGGCATTGAATTCTACCAGTGTGACCGTTCTGTCACCCGACCACGACTGGTATCCGTGCTTGCATACACAATTCTACGACAATTCGTAATTATTCGATTTGTTTTCATGAATCATCCCAGACAAGGCAGCTGGCCGATCTACCATTCTGTGACCTCTGCATGCCCGAACCCTCAGATGTGAATATTCTGCGCCAGACGTTGGCAGACGTTTATTTACGGCCAGAACGGCTGAGGGCCAGTCAAAAGTAGAGCGCGGTTCACGATGACATGCACGTCGTGTACATTTTACATCGTGTGGAACTTAAATACGTGACTCGCATGTCGGTGTGAAAAATGTTTCGTTTGTGCACATACCCAGTGATGGCAAATTGCCCATAGAGTAATAGATTGTGTCATTTTTTTTCAAGCAAAGACATCAAATTATCAATTAAAAGCCCCTAAATCTATTCAGTTACTGGGTTTGCCTGATGCGGCAGCGATATAAAATATTAATTCCACTCTTGCATATATCAGGGGACTAAATACCTGCCCTCAACTGTATGCACTTAAGCTCTGGTGCCCATTTAAAAAACAAAGTCACCGAAGAGAGGTTTTTTTATTACCGAATAAAATTTCCAACGATAGGTTTATGGGCTTCGGTACGTTACACCGCGAGCGTCGAATGAGATCCCTCGGGATATGGCACGAGGGCACCGGCGCGCGCACAAAGCACCCACCACTCACCACTGTGGTCCCAGGTTCAATTCCCGGCCCCCTAGCCATGCGCAAGTACAGTTGTTCGTTGGTTCTTGCCACTGCCACGTTTTCCTCCGGGTTCACCGATTCTTTTTTTCTCTGGCTGTGCCCCGTTGGTGGACATGGGTCGTGTGGCGGCTGGCTGAGGTTCGATCAGGTTGGAGTTTCATGTCACCATTGAAAACGGCGCATTCGAGCATAATTGTGTGAAATTTGCTCTCCGCTTATTCCAATCTCCAAATCATTTCAAAGCTTTGCATTTTCAAGGCAGCCAACGCAGTAAAATTGGAAAGCAAGGCCAGGGTTCCTATTTCCCTGCCGTGAAGTTTTATTGCGCTGACCTGTGTGTGACCGTCGACGAGTGGAAGTGAAGTATTTTCAACAACAGTACGGTCGCAGTGTCTGCAGAGAGCCATCAACGACGGCCTTAAACCAGCTGACGGTCGTGTCGGCTTAACAAATCGCCCGGCCTGCTTGCTTTGTGCATGACCCACCGCGCGAGGGTACTTGACACATGCTTGAACCATGCATTCTGTAGAGCTGGCTTCGCTGGTTCCCGTTGTGACGCTCCGGTTTGCTAGAACTCTCAGGGTGTTTACATTTTTTTTTGGAGGTTGGAGTTCTCAACTGTATGCCTTCCAATCCTCCTTTGAATAACATTTCAGAAAGTACATGAGATTTGTGGTCTGCATGTTGGAAATAATCCATGAATTTTATGTCACCGTATTAAATTTGGTCACATCTCGCTCTCACTGGTTCCTTGCTATGAACTTGGACTTCTTCTTTTTGGCCTTCAGGCTACGTAATTTTTTTTAATGGAGCGCTTTGAGGTACACATCTCTGTTTATGTTTCGAGGCAGTACGGGTTACTCGAGGCTGCACCTGTGTCAGGCTGTCTTATTCTTCCTGGACAATTTTGAAATTTGAAAAGACTAGTCAACACTGCCGGAAGATATTGCCTGATAAATTGATTCGCTGTAAGTATTCCTCAATGCCAGTGTCACCATCTACTGAAATGCCTACTATGAGGCCTACCCATTCTCCCCCTCAACCTGTCAGCGAGTTTATTTACACAGGCGTTTGTGTTGAAAAGTACCCGCATAATTTGCTTCGCACTGCAGGTAGGCTATCGAACTTTGTTGCCGCATGCTCAGCCTAATTAGTATGCGTTTCACCGTGGGTTTTTTTGGTCGTGTAGCTATCTGCGCAGCGCAGAAATATCGTGACGCAGTTTCTCGCATATTATTTGCATATACACCCCCGACCTGTCATCCCACTCCACCAGAACGAGACCGCGACACTTGTTGTTTGCGCTTGAAACGGCAGGTAAAAGAAAACAGTGCTTGTTGGAAAAACTCCACATCTGGCAGTTTCTGCTTCACATACAAGACAGTATCCTTGGTTTTGTTCCATACCACGAACGCCCTTCTGCAGACAGGGTGTTCCATTAGTGTTCAGTAGGCCTACTTGAAGACGACGTCGGATTTTTTGTTTCTATTGGTTTTTGTTTTCGATGGATGCGTAGTTTGTGTCGATGCCGTCAACGGACGTTTCTCTGTCAGTCGGATTGTTCTCGCGGAAAGTTTTCAATCCCGAGTCTGTAGCGATTCGACCAGTGCTCGCTACGCAGACAGTCGCCCGTGCGGTTGTCGCTGTTACCGTCACTGGCGTTTCGTCTGTCATCGATATCGTTGCTGCCATTTTATGCCACGTGGACGATTCATCTCCTCACTGGAATATCTGAAATTCCGCCCCTTCTAAGAGTCAGCACAACGACGTCCCCTATACCATTCCGAGCGAAGTGAACATTTGACGAAAAGGGCAACATCGGACGTCCATTTGTTGAGCCCAGCCATTTAACTGTAAGCGAGAACAAAACTCTCTCGAGGGAGCCCCGCTGTCATTGTCATCGTCGTTGTCGTCTCCTTCTGTTTTGAAAGTCTGGCATGGAGAGAGGCAAAACTCGAAGCCTGAGCGAATCCGGCGACTTCCAACTCGAGCAGAGTCTTTTCGCTCTCCTGCCCGCGTACGTATTAATTTAACACACATACCTCTAATTTCATTCTTTTTCAATTTTTTTTTAATCAATACTTTCTGTTTCATCTTTCGACGTTGTAGGCTGAACACTGGCGTTAGCGATTGTTTTTAATAATTGATGGGTGTTCTGCGATCCGCGATAATTGCGGGAGCAGACCCCGTTGATCAGTGAGAACTTTTTGAAATGCTGAAACTAAACAGGTTTAAAATTTCACGTCCGTAGCAGAATAGTTACTAAAAAGCCCCAGAACTGTCATAAACCGTCTAGCAAAACGCTAGTTCCCATCTGCAGGCTTGACTTCAGAGGCATAAGCTTCGACAGATTGTATTGTCATGCATGTTATTTCGTCCCTTCCAACTCATATCGTACTTTTCCTGGTTGCAGCGGTTATGAATCGTACCAAATGGGTGTACAAAGTTTTCTATTCAGTCCAAGCAACATTGTCAACTATAAATGCCAAGGTCGGCAGGAGTTTGCTGGTAAATAAGGAAAGCAAACGGTTGTCGGCTAAGTAGCGGAGTTCCCGACTTCGGCCTAGACGGCTGTTTTGTGTTTTTTAATCGCTGTATTGGCAATTTAAATTGATTAATTCTCCTGCCCGATACATGTTTAGAATCCGAAAAGATGCAAGGACAACGAGGCCGTCGAATGCATAACTAATGTGCATAAAAAGTACATATCTAACAAAGATTCTTGCCGACTGTTTTCTTGAGTTACTTTTTCAACTTCAACAACATTTTCAGAGTATTTCTTTGGTATCCTCCCGTCGCGAGACGCTTTTGTATATTCAGGTCCCATTCTGTCGCGTCCTACTTTAGAAAACACCATCGATTTTGTATCGATCGAAGCCAAAAGAAAAGGGTACGCCGCCTTGTTGCTCCACGGATCCGCAGCTCTCAAAAAGAACCAATTCATGTTGAAGGAAGCAGGTTACCAACGAGCGTGAATTAATTTGGGGTTTTTTCGACTGAAGGAAAGGTGCAGGCACCTATAAGTATTTACGACTTTCTCTCGGAAGATAGTGAGGGTAAGAGTTTTATCTGGGGTGTTTTTTTCTGTCAATGTTACAGTAACATCAATTAGTTTTTTGCACTAGCTAGCTTGGCTTAGGTTACAACTGAAGTGTGTGCTGGTAGTGCCCTGGATAATGGTTTACCGATTCGCATTTCTGCGTGGCAGGGGTGTGAGTTGTTAACTTTTTCAACGACTTCAGCGGCTGCGTGTTCCAACAAGAATCGTTTGCCCAAAGTGCAGGTCGGTTCGTTTGACGGGCTCTATTGTACTTGGGCAAGATTGGAACCCACGGCTGAGTACTCAGCTCAGAAGCGTGGGTTTGGCCGGCCCGCTCTGTCGGTTCATCCGTCGGTTCGAATACTCCGCGAGTCTTGGTGGAAGTAGCACACCCGCTGTCGCTGAACGTGCTGGAGGTGTGCCCCCGGTGAATGCGGATTTCACAAGTGTGCAGCTGCGACGAAAGTAACGCCGCGTGGTGTCTGCAACGAAGCACACGGGGTCCCAAGAGACTATGAAATGATTACACGATCAACCGGGTGTCTGAACGGCCGGCACCTCTCGAGACAACTGGTCAGTAGGGCACGGCAGTTACCTCACCAGTTGAGCAAACTATTTTGGTAGAATGACTCGTGAAAACCTGTTATTCCCTGTGCACCTCTGCACTTTACAGAGACGAGAGGTGTGTTTTTTTTTTGGTGGGGGGGGTGGCCCTAGCGTGGAATACCAGGTGAATCATTTAAGAACCGAACAAACAAGTTTTCCAACCAAGCTGATGTCTCATTGGAAATTTATTGAGAACTGGATTTAATCAACAGCTGTGAAAATGTCCGTTTGAACAGCGCTCATACGCGCACAAGCCACAACCGTAGAGGGCTTGCTTGACAGCCATCTTGCAGGCCAGTGCTTTTTTTCAAAAGGATATGCACAAAGGAAGTTTCCCCGCCAAACCAAGGAAATGCCCTGCAAGATGGCTACCACGCAAAACTCTCTATTATAAGCTTAATATCTGTCGTTCGGAAGTTGGCCTTCCTGCCATCCATGAGTTGTATTTCGTGTTCTTCTTGTTGCCTTCACAGCCAGGAGCAGGTCTGCGAGCTCTATCAGCAGCTCCACGCCGCTGACCTGCCGCAGTGCCTCAGCCAGTTTGAGAACATCATCTGCGAGACCATCAAGGACATCAAACAGCAGCAGTCGGAAACGGACAGGCTGGAGAAGTCGCTGAAGAGGTGAGTCGGGTCCGACGGCTGTTGCGTGCCGTGAATGAAATTTCTACGACGTTAGGTGCAGAGCGTCCGCCGGTGCCCGTGGACAGTGACCGCCATTTTGGATGGATGCAAAGTTTGCAGGAAGTTCGGCTTGGGTTGGTAATAACGTGCCCGAAACTGCAGATTTTGCACCATCATTGTTGACACAAGAGGCATTTTCGGTTTGCAGTGTCGCGGACAGTGTTTTGAGAAATTGTATAAGAGTTAAAAGCGGTAAAAGGAAAAAAAAAGATTCAGAACAGTGGAAAGGCTGATTTAATGTTGATCAGTCTACACGTGAGACGTCAGTTGCAACGGACAGTCACGATATTCCACGCTGGTCAATTTGTGAGTAGGCCGGCCCATTGAAAGGCATAAAGTACAGAGAGTGTGGTATTGATTTTCTGAGCAGAGGTGGATTTTTGAAAGATGCGTTAGTGTTTCCTAAGCTTTACCCGCAAATGAGAAAGAAAAGCGGAGGAACTGCACTTGCGCAGACACTCCTTACCTCTTCGGCTAACCGGGCATGCTGGGATTTGCTCAAAATAATGTGCGTGCGGCCTGAAATTTTAGAAAACAGGCGTAGAAATGCGCCTCCAAGACTTAATCCACTCTAACGTTTTCTCTGTATCCGGACCCGATAAAATCGTCCAAGATTTTTGGTGACCTAGTTTAATTCACCACACGCACTGCTCTTCAGCATTCTACGGTTCCGCTTAAAATTAACGGCAAACGAAAAATGTCGAGGAGTTAATAAGCGTCAGGTGATGAAATTAGCCGAGCTGACGTCAGGCCCGTCGTTTGTAGGACTTGGCAAATGTCCAGATAGGGAGTGCATCGCGTCATAATTATGGTGGCCACGTTGGAGATCTCCTGATAGTTTGGCTTTGGACATGGAATTGTGATCACATTGATGTGCGACTAAAAGCAAACCAAATGGAGCATGTTTGAATTAAACTGTGCTTTCAGTTCGGGCCACTCATATGATATGTTATGTTAAAAAAAACGACGAAGCTGTTACTTTTTTGAGAGAGACTGATAAAATTTTCCCTCGTTTGTTCATGGTTCCAATTCCATCACACATGTAATTGAAGTGACATTAAATCAGCCTGTTTAAAGTATGTTACCGAATACTAAATAAAAGTACATGTTGAGAAACATGGGTACTTAGACCGCCCCAATTAGTTGAGGGGTTCCTCCTATCCCAGGGGCGCGGTCCATCTCTGCCTCTCAGTTTGTAATCAGCCGCATTCAAAATGTCTAGTCTACGGCTAGAAGAAACATGTCTACGTAGGAAATGCCAGGAGCCGTTAGCTGGCGGCTTCCGTAGGCGTTGCTTCGAGCCGTTCATGGCCAAAGGAACATCGGACGCGGCATAACCGGGTTGGCCTCTTATCTGTCTGTCTGTCTGTCTGTGCGCACCAGAGCCAACGACTCTCACTCCAGCCACCTGCGGCACCTGGAGACTGAGATGGAGGCCCAGGTGGCTAAGGTGGAGCAGCGGGTCCGGCAGGAAGAGCAGGAGGCGGCCCAGGTAGAGAGGGAGGAGCTCAAGAGGAGGATGGAGGCCGAGATCACCGAGCTGCAGAACAACCTCAGCCGATTCCACTCGGTGAGTTCTGTCGACTGACGACACGTCGTCGACCCTGCAGGGGCCAATTCCATAGAGCGTAAGCACAAATTTGCTTAAGCACGGAAAGACAATGCTCGATAAGTCAGGTAAACCAGCCGAAACTTCCTGGATGTATGCATGTTGTTTTGGAGTCGCATTTAGCTGCGTTTTGGTTAGCATGATAATCACGTAGAGTTTGAACTGGTATTAGAAAGAATCCCTTTTTTTTTTTAAAAGCAAGTTCTCTTTCTTTTTCGCGCTTAAGCGACTTTTATGCTTAAGCAGCTCCATGACATTGGCCCTCAGACATTTCTTTAAAGGGTTGGAATACGGACTGTTACGTTTCCAGCCTCATCGGTCTCATTTCGTGGTGTAATTTTCTAGGCCAGCAATATAATGTTCCAAACAATTTTGTGTTAACTGATGATCCATATTAAGCTACAAGTTCCAAAAGAGAGTCCGGTGAACCTTATAGTGAACTTCAAAGCCGAGCACGTAGACGAAGTGGAGGTTTCATTGTAACCAGCCTCGTGTGACGCAAACTGAAAAAAAGTTTTAAAGTTCAAAAACAACGTTGGCATTTAAACTCAAATCTATTAGGTGGTTGAACAACATGCTATGCTGCCTATTATGTCGCTATGCTGACGCCTATTTGTACAGCAGTTGACGTGAATGAACGTCGTTGAGATAAACACGCATTCTCTGAAGCGTGTGTCCTAGCTCTTTACATACGACATAAGGTAAAGTACTTGTGAACTCGAAAACGGTATAAGGTTATGTAAAGCTTTCCCCTTTCTGCGGTTAACGAAGTGATGGAGAAGGAAGATGTTTATATTCTGTTTAGAATATTGGAACGTTCAGAATATCACTCAGTTTTGGGGAGGATGAGGCTATCTTTTAATTATCCGACTTTACCCCCCCCCCGCGTCCTTCTCACCTCCCAGTTCGAGAAACGGTGGCAGATGAGGGAGAAGCCCAAGGACGAGACCCTGAAGAAGAGGCTGGACGAACTGCAGCATGAGAATCGGCAGCTCAAGAGCGGCCTGACCGAGTCTCAGACCAACCTGGCCCTCGCCCGCAGCGAGTTGGCGGCCTTCAAGTCGGAATACGACGAGTGCCTGGACAGGTATTATGAAAGGCCGATTCAGTTGGGGGTGTGAAAGGTAAAATCATGGAGAAAACGAACGGTTGGTCGAAGACACGTACCATGCTTCGTCTGCGTCTCGGGCTTCGTCTCCGAAATCAATACCCATTTTCAGGCTGGTATTTCTCCAATGAAACGCAAGCGTAAATACTTCAGTCCGTGTATTGTTGGCGTGTAGTTAGACGTTTTGTTGGCAGTGTTTGACTGATTATTGAGCGAACGGCTTGTGGCAGCCGAGGGGTTAGGGCTAATATCAGGCATGCCTTTTCGACATTCACGTGGCTGAAGCAGATTCCTCCATGATGAATTTCATTGAAACTTTGTACGAATGTAGACACACCTGTAGAATGTATAATCACAACAAAATGCTTTGTACATTTTCAGAATCTCAATCCACCTGCATCAAATGTTTTACAGTTATGTGAGTGCTTCACACCCCCGTCTGTTAATTTTTCCTCCAATGCAGCGTTTTGAAATAAATCGAAGATGGTTTCTTATAGATAATGTTGAATAATATCTGGGAAGCCCAGTTTTAGCCGACTAGTTACCTCTGTACATTTTCAGGGTTCATTAACTGGATACATGCTAATCGAAACGCAGTGAGTTGGAAATTGTCCATCATTGAAATTCCCTGAACATTGTGCAACATTCAAAGCAACTCATAATTGACCTGGCAGAAGTCTTCACCGTTTGTGCGACTTTATGGTTTACTTTACAGCGACAAACATTTGTTGAACGAGTACATGTTCGACCATGACAGCTTAGCGAGACAAGTACTGCAGCTGCAGTAAGTACATCGGTTTATTTTTTACGCGTTTTCCACATTTCACCTGCCGTTCAAACCTTAATAAACAAGTTTTGCAAGTTCATTGAATTTGTTGCGGGTCAATGTCTTTGCAGGGAAGCAAACAGACGGTTACAGGACACAAACGACGACTTGAGGGCTAGTCTAGAGAGCATAAAACGGGTAAGAGGCAAACAGGTCTTGCCCAGTTTGCACTTACGCATCGTGGATGAGTGTTGATCCAAAAAATTGATATGGTCAGCCTGAGCAGCTTGACCGTGATCGATGTGGGCTAGACGCAGTCCAGAGAAAACTTTGCAACGGAGGAACATTTTTATCAAGACCCAATAGGTTTGTTTGTTACCCGAATCGGCCACATGGCGCGTCCCTAAGTGTGTTTTCAGGGAACTTTTAAACTTTGGATCACACTTCAACTGAACTGGAAAAAAAAGTTTCAGCCTTGCACAGCCGCGATAGTTTTGATTGAGGTGTAGGATCGTCGCCTCTGCTGCAGATGCAACACTTGCGAACACGGCCGCCAGCTTTCCCAAATCACGCCAAATTAAGGCCGACTGTTAGGTTTGTTTTCTCCTGCAGAGTTCGCGCTCGCTGACACCAACCAAGCAGAAGAGGTTGTCGATGGGGTCACTGGACTACTACGCCGAGGACTCGCCGGTGTTAATGAGCTCCGTCACAGATGCGTAAGTGTCCGAGGCAACAAGGGGCGCCAATATTTTTGTAGATAGTCTCCTGGTAGTAATAGTCAGCACTCACTGCTTCTGTATACTATGAGCCCCGAGCGCGACAAAGAGAGGGCGCAATTTTCCTAGCAACAGAGGTTCCTTTGGTAGGAACTGCGCATCGTTTATCCAGAAACGACTATGGAATGGCTTTTTTTTCAACTGAAGAGGGGAAGCTTCTACTCAAGGATAGGGCCACACCAGCCTCCTCACATACCTAACACGAAAAGTCTTCTGTGACCCACAGCAAGACTCAGAGAAGCTTTGAATGTAAAGAAGGGCATAGGGCCCACGTGTCGAGCGCTTCTGGGGCCAAAAACGGCCCTTGTAAAACACCAAATTTGCTACATTGTCAAACAAAGCAACGGAAGTATTGGGTTGTCTTCGGAATAGACTTAAATTGACTGTCGTAAAGACAGAATTCAAGATTGGGCACTGTAAAGCACATGTTTATTAATATTGTGTCAAGTGATCGAGAGACTAATTTTCACTGCTTAGTCCTACTCTTCAGACAACGAGCAGATCTAGACTCATGAATATGTAATGATGTGCTGAATGTCTGATGATCGCGCAGATCAAGTGGCAGAAGGAGGCGGAGCTTCGTGTCCCAGGACTCGATGGAAAGTGAGCCGTCCGTTGCAGGCTCGGCGTCGTCGACGAAGAGGCGGTTTGTGTACCACCAGACGGCCGACGGGGAGAGCTACCCGGATGAAGTCGGTAGGTCGAAAGTCGAGTTATTCGGAATCGATTTTGGTGCGACAGTTTATCTCTGAAACAGATGACAACGAATTATTTTGTGTAAAAAAATACACTGTATGTGTTCACCCTCGGGGCAACTTTTTCGATTGTTCATTGACATTTCTGTTATTACCTTTTTAAATGACCTTTCAGCCCTGTGGTTTTTCCAAACTCTGACCCCAACCTACTAAGGCACTGACCGTACCGCGGCGTCGTAACGGCGGAGTTTCATTAAAACGTTGACAAAAATGTACTGGTACCCGATGTGTTCTTTTTCCTGTATTGCATCCACTCGGATCTTTACCATTTCAGCCTAAAGCTAATACAAACAGTGGCAACCTTGGCGGTATCACTGAAAAGAATTCCCTCTTCTGCACTTTGGTTTCCTCTGTCTAAGCTGCATACAATCAGTTGTTCAAATATGACTATGAAGGTGAGTGTGTGTATCATTGGGAAATGGGCCACAAACCCTTTTTTTTTTTCACGCGAGTGTTCAGTGTGCAGTGGATAAAATGTCGTTTTCAGTCACCTTTTGTTTGCCAGAACGGGTATACGTTTGCAGTGCACACTGACAATTATAGCTAATGACTTGTAATGAGTGAAAGGAAATTATTCAGGAATTTAAAACAAATAGGCTTTCCATCAAGAAAAGGAGGCACGACAAATGCAGACTGTTTTCCAGAAAACGAGTATTCGCTTTTCACGGTCACAATAAGTTCTTCAATAGATTAACGTGTTAAAACGCCAGTTGAACTAAAAGGATGAACCACAGTATGAGATGAGTGGATTGTTCATTGAAATGCTGTTACAGCGCTCAACGATTGGCATGTACACCAACCGCGACGCTCGAGTAATGATATAGTTTGCAGTGCCGTTGTACTTCGAAATGTGCACTCGGTGAAAAACGGACTGTGTGATCAGACTGCGCATGACTAAGTTCTTTAATTAAACAATGGCATTTAATCCACGCGTGGAAGGCTCGGAGTCCATATCAGGCAAAAGGGACCTTTAGAGTTAAAATGTCACAGGACAATGTATTGAATAATTATGTGTGTGATACCTATAACACCCGGACAAGATTGTTGAAAAGAGTGAGTGCCTATTTATGTGGCTTTGGTTTCAAACAGGACCTTTTCAACAGTTTTCTCGTCTGAAACGTAAAGTACATCCAATGCTTTTGTGAAGTGGAGCACAGCTTTGAGGAATCATTGTCGTGTCTATTAACTCAGGGGTGACCCATAAGAAAACCTTGAAGTTGATATTCCAGTGCGCATAGACCTGTTGGACCTCAGTGCAGACGGTTCTGAGTTTGTGCCCAAATTCGGGATAACAGTATATTCGAACAGTGTACATCAGATGAAATTATATTGTGAGTCTAAGCCGGTCACAATTTTTAATTCATCTTGGGAAAAACTCGTGGGTATTCGACTCGAGGAGCACCAGTTGGTATCGATTCTGTTACTAACCTGCAATCCACAGTGCATACCACGACTAACTTAACGAGTGCAAACCGAAGAGGTTTCAGTAACATTCCCACGATAAGAAATACGAGTATGGAAAAATGTGAAATCGTTGTCAAACAGTACCCTTCATAATTCCTGCTATTGCATTCTCTCTAGTACACCCGGGTGCGCTTGTGGTTTGTTTTTCAAATTCACAAGCCTCCAGGGCATACACTGAGTATACAGTGTTAAAATATATACGTCCGGCAGGGCAAAAATCCAACATTAATCCCATCTCCCCGGCGCAAATCCATCTTTGAAATACATTCTCTCTTTTTTTTTTATTTTGTTGCTCGACAAGATTCTGGGAACTCGACGTTACGAGACCCACTGGAGCTGGACTCTGAGCTGGAGGTCAACTGCGTAGAGGACGAACTGAGAAGGGCGACCTCTGTCGAGGAGAATGCCATCAAAGAAGCCATCCTGGTGGGGGGGCAGAAGCAGGTAAACCTGTGTTTTTTGTCACTTGTACGTAATTTGAAATGGTCCACAGAGTTTACGGACTGGTTTCGATTTCCCATGGACTGGTCATAAAAAGCCAAGCAAAGGTTTATTAAATTTTTGTTTCAATCGAAATTCGGCTGTATCTTGTAATCGCAACAGGCTGCGAATCAGGGCAAACCCCACAGAGTCGAATCCATCACCGACTCGGTGACGGCTTTCCAGAAAGGTGACGTCACGGTCGCCACGTCGTCATCGGCGCAGGAGCCAATGGCAGCGCAGAAAAACGAGAAGCTCCAGAGGAACCTGACGCCTCGCAACTCCGGCCGCAAGAGGGAGCTACCACAAGTACCCCTGAAGGTAACCACTGAAGCAACATTCTGTCACGTTGCCTGCAGTTCCCCCGTCATCATTGAGCTTTGACACTTAAACTATAAAGACACGAACAAAAGCGAAAAACTGTTTACGATAATACGCATCCATTACAAAGGTTTAATGGTTTAGTGCACGGTAGGCGTGACTGTTTCGTCTCTGGTTCTACAAAGCATCTGTACAATGCCAATCGTGAAAAATCTGCATAATTAACTTCACGACATAGGCCGCAAGTAGTAAAAGCTTGATTATCCGACAGTCTTGAATTAACGTCTCGCCTATTTTCCAAAATACGTTGTCACTAGTTTCACTAAGTGACCTGTTTTGTGTGATACAAGGACGTGTTTGAAATGCTATCCTTTTCATTTCTATGGGGTGAAATAGTTGTCTTTCAAGGGGACGACCTTAATGTTAACAGAGGCTATACTCCCCGTGCTTAGAATGCCCTTTTCTTATACGGATGAAGTGGATTTGAACGCGAAGGATCACTGAGCTCTTCATTGTAATAGAAGTTGGTCTTTCCTCTGTGCCCAGAACACAAGACAAGAACAATAGGGAACGTACCTTTGTTTTATGAAATAGAGTTGAAAAGTCATTGATGATTTCAGGACATTCAGGAGATGAACTGTTCACCAGAATTTTTTTGACACATACATAACAAGGCGTAAGAGTCATCGTTAGATTTGTAATTATATTTTAAATTCAAATATAGTCAACATTCTGTGGAATTCCTATATGCAGTTGATTGTCCAAGTGATACTGTCTTTATTCTCGGCTCCTTCATCCCTGCCCTTGCGTACAATGAAACATTTGGTTTATTTATATTTTTGTGTGTTCCCTCATCAACTGCTCATAAATTTGAATCCTCAGTGCAGCAAAAAGAGCTCTAGCAATCATTTACTCTTCGAATGCCATCAAAAATAACAAAACAAAATAACTTTAATCAAATTGCATCCACGCAAATAAGGGCCTATTCTAATTTCTTTTCTTGAAAGACACTGACAAAGATATTTAGGTCATGTCGTGGGATTAGCGGGGAATTAGACATGCATGTTATCAGAAAATAAGCCTTGTAATCGATTCGAAATGTTCGCTTTTTCCATTTGCGTAAAGTTACTAAAATCTCAAGTTGTTCTGTAATCGGTAAAGGTCACTTTGTGGGACCACGAACGATTTATTAGCAGGTTAGAGTATTCCACTGAATACTAAAAATATTTTTATTACGTTCTGTATATATACATAGCTATAGAAATTCCAACTGAAATCCTTTGAGGAAGTTGAAGCATTGATACTTGCATTATCTTCCCCTGGATGTTTAGTTCTCCGGGTTTTTCGACAATCTCCTGGAAAGTTTTAGCCCCAAGAAGGAGGTATACTATTTATAGCAACAATCACTCGAGTGCCTTTGAAGTGATGGGTCCTCAGTATAATGTTGTGTGATACTCGATTGCTGTAATCTTTGAAGTGTGAATAACAAGACCTTGGTGTGTTGTCTTGAAGGAACTTCTACCCGTTTAGAAAGAGGCAGTTTCGATTTTCATACGACTGCATTATTCAGCGTTCCACATTGTCTACTAAATGCCCAAGGCGCGGCGACTTCGAAAATGTCTCGACTCGTTTTGAAGTTCTGTAAAAAAAACAAAAAAACCCAAAACAAATATTTGAGTGTGTTATATCTTGAGAAGGAAATGGCTTCTTGATGTTTGAATGTTTGACGTGAATACAGACGTTTCACAATAGTGCGCCTCCAAGAGTTTGCAACGCGTTGACCAATCACAATGAGCGCAATCTGTCGACCCTTCCCAAACGCGCATTGTGTCGACATATTTTACGCATTGTGATTGGTCAACGCGTTACAAACCCTTGGAGGCGCCCTATTGTGAATCGCCCTTGATGCACTTGCACCTTGCACCGTCAACGTGAGCTCGAGTTGGAAGTTCAATATTTACAAGCCCAGATACCACCTTTCACCAAGCTGCATTTCAAGCACGTTTTGAGCTTTTTTTTTTTAAATGTCTCATGTCCGTCACTCTCAGGTTACACCGTGTCCATTCTTCTTGTGTCCTTAGGCAAGATGATTTACCCCTATTCGGGCGATTCACAATAGTGCGCCTCCAAGAGGTTGCAGTATTTTGACCGATCACAGTGCGTAAAATCTGTCAACCCTTTCCAAACGCGCATTCGGTCAACAGTGGAGGCGCACTATTGTGAAACGCCACTATTTCATGTTTTTAACCAGAAAAACATTGAGAACCTTTGAGATGGTTCAGGTGAAAGCGTTTTCAAGAAGTGGCCCTCGGAGACCTGTGGCTTCACCCAATGATAGCGCAAACGCAGCAGTGTCTGGCCAATTACAAAGAGCCAGGGCACATCACCGTACTGGCTACTTAAATGGAATCTTGCTGAGCAATAGTAGCCATAGGCCAAACATCGTGTGAAGTGGCAGGGGTTCGCGGCAAGGTTCGCTTCCAAATTTCATGGTTACCGATAAAAATAACGCGCGCTTGTGACTGCTGCTGGGAAGCAGCTTCTCGCATTTTCTCGTTGACTTGTGTGTTGTCTCCGGCCGTAGCCAGGTAATAAGGACGTAGCCCTAAAAACAACCTCGATTCCTAGTGATCTGAATATCCGTTACTATTGTACTTCGACAGACTCAACCGACAAGACCGCAGACGGCACCAGAGCGCATGTATAAGATTGTCCTGGCCGGTGATGCGGCCGTGGGCAAGTCCAGCTTCATCCTTCGCCTCTGCAAGGGCGTTTTCCAGAACAACCTCAACTCAACCTTAGGTGAGCCCTAGGGCAGGAGAGCCTGAAAACACGTTGTACGAATTCCATAATTTTAAAGTTCACAAATTTGTTTTACAAATC